ATATGAGCGCATTATTTTTATCATTTTTTAAATAATCTTGATATATATATAAATATATATTTAAAAAATTCTAACTACAACCGAACGTTTCGACTACAAACATAACAGATTCTACAAATATAACAATTTTTAACTCTACGAGATAAATATAATAGATATATTTGAAACATTAAAATATTTTCGCTTATAGATACCTTGATTTACAGTTATATCTTTATTAACGCCAAAATTAAATACGACTTCTACAGCACAAAAGTTGCAACAATACTGTTGCAACATTGCAGTAATATTGGATGTTGCATCAATATTGTAGCATTTATTACAGCATTTATTACAGCTGCAAATTCCGTGCTGTACGAGGATTCTACTGCGACGATCCTCCCCATTTTTTTTATAAACAAAGGCAAAAAACTACAAAATCGATTTAGTTTCGGGGTAATTCTTTACAATGAAATAACTCAACATGAAGTAAACGCGAGATTATTCATGTGATTAACATTTTTGACTTTGCATTTATTTTATCGATCAGATAAGTATCAAAAACCAATCACGATTAAGAATGAATTTTACTTACTCTTTAAGCCCCACAGTATCCGTTGATCGACAGCATCTCGGAAATCTTGTAATTCCGTTGCACATGTTGCCGAACCGAGAAGACTAGCTCTCGAGGCGATGGCATAGGCGGGTAATAAATGAATAATATTGTTCTCGTTAGAATTGTGAAATTGTGCAGAAACGCAAAATAACGTGGCAAAATGACAGATATACGAAATAAATGTAAATCGCTGATGCGACATAATGCAAATTTTTGAACCCAAAAATTACAATTTTCTACACTTTTACTTCCTCGTTAATGCAAACTGTGGTCTATATTAATACCGATATATACCGATCATAAAGTGATCAATTTCAGAAATACAATAGAGTGAAGTATAAAGAATTATTTTGCTCATGTAAAGAATTTCATTAATGCACAGATCTAGAATTATTTTCTTTATTGAGATAAAGAAGACACATCTTGATGAATCGTATCAAAGAATTATTGAATATAAATAATGTCGTTGTTTATTAACTTCGCCCCGTGTAAATATTAGCATAACGTTTTAGAATTTTGTTAGAAAATGCTCCTCACTCTTGATTTGTATAAAGGAGATTAATATTGGTCAGCGAGATTCGACGACCGGGACAAGACTGGTCTATATAGGGAGCAGTTAGTGGATTTGGAAAGCAAAACGTCCTCCCCCCGACAACTTTTCCGACGTCGTGGCGAAACCCCACCACGTTATGTGCACACCATCATTCGAATACGCCGACATCTAGAATACACAGCAATATAATAAAAAATATTTTTTTAATGAAAAACCAATAAAATATTTTATAAATTTTTGTACTAAATTTCTATGATTGTCTTATGACATTTTGTTTCCACATTATTATTATTACTATTATTTCTGTTACACTAAAAAGTAATTTTACAAAAGAAAGAAGGACGTATGAGTATGTATGGACATGTTTCATATATTATGAGTTATATATATTTATTCATGTTTATGTATGTTTATACATATTTATGCATATTCATGTGCATGAAAAATTTTATATCCTTTGGCTGTTCCTTTCAACTTGATAATTTTCTCATTCATCATTATGGTCTCTTATAAGGCTAACAACAAATCCTAATCTGCACTGCCTATCGACTTGGTATCGTTGATAGAGAGATGCAAAGGAGAGAGGAGGGAAACAGAGAGAAAGAGAGAGAGAGAGAATAAATTATTGATTTAGTTTGCGAAAGACGTGCCGTCTTCAATAAAGAATTGAAGACCAGTTGCTGCAAAATGCAAATATTTATTTACTTACAAAATTCATAATCTTTTTTTCAATTATTCTTACTTTCTAGCGTAGAAAATTATGAAAAAAGCCGAAATAACGTTTTAATATTATGCGGCAAAAATCTACAGATTTTTCTTTTAAATAAATGCGTAATGTAGAAATATTATAAGAATCTTAAAAAAAAGTAGGGAGGCCTAGCAGTGCCATTTCTGAATTAGAGTAGTTTAAATTTATAATTTAATCAAATTCTCCCCTTTTCTTAAACGCCGAGTGGCAAGACAGGGATATGCTGTTGTTACATTTCAATTGTCTTCAGTGCGGACTAGTGTTCGTGCACACAGATACGACACATTTATGGGTGTGTGTACATTCACCGGCAGGAATGGTGTCCCCTAGCGTTCGGCGCGCGGCGCTACACAACTCGAAGCATATACGTACGTGTTATTGGAAACGTGGCGGAGGCGAGAAGCGCGAAGGAAGAAAGTAGTGGAGGGCACTCTGCGATATCCTGTTCTTAACGCAAGGCGCACGATTGAGAGAGAAAGCGTAATTGGACATGATGCCAGCTCGCGGTGTCCTTACGCTGTCTCACATATTTGTTACTAGTACGAGTGAGATACTTCGATGTCTCTCGCTCACCACTATTTATAATAATACTTTTATTATACACAAAATGTTGTAATTATGTATACAAATTTTTAATACTGTAAAAAATTTCTATGCATATTACGTGTAATTTTAAGACTCATTGTAATAGCTTTGCATGTATTTATAATATAAATTCGCAGTGTGCAAATGAAATTAATATTTTGTATCGCAAGATCGCAAAATTGAATTTACATTTAAATATAAGAACATATAATAAAATAAATAAAAAAAAATTTGAATTTATAAAAAATATGTATACATTATATCATATATTTTTTACGCGCAGAGAGGCATATTTGTAAGTTTTACGCGATTAACTTTCTAGCGCGATTGTAGCCGGAGAAATACTTTAAACAGTTCGTCGATAAGAGAATCTGGATTCGGTCTGGTGACTTCAACTCTACAGAGGATAAGATTATGTCTGCAGCATTAGCCTCCGTTTTTTTCTACGCTTTAGCGCAGCCTTAGCGCGATCCAGAGATCTAGTTTCGCTGAGACTAAACTACTGAAAAAATTTCTGCGAATAATAATATACAAATTACATTCATTTTTATCATATATCGTAACATATTCTAATGTATTAAATCGAGCACTGGGCATCAAAAACAGAAATAAAGTACCAACACTACTCTATTCGATCAGAAAACTCTATAAAAGATTGAATAGCTTGGATTCAAATAACGGTAAGAATAAATCTGATACATGATTTATAAGAATTAATTTTATCGATTCAATGACCACATAGATTATAAGAAATTGATGATTAATTCGGTAAGAAATCTAAATCTTTCGTGATTACGGTACTAATCTATTTTTTTGTAATCACTTGATATAGTAAATATAAACCGTAATTATAATTCACGGCATGATTTTACCTTGCTTAGAATATCATTGTATAATACAATTATGTGCAAAAGTATTAGGCACTTACAATTTTCTCGCATTTTATAAAATGTTAAGTATTTCGGCGAAAAGTAATCTTAGAGAGAGAAAACTAATCTTAGAATCTTTTCGACCACACGTTTTAAAGTAAGCGAGGGCTTAAATGTGCGTTTGAATCTTTTGTCTACAATATTTTGTTCCTAAGTTACATAAAATTAAAAAATTATATTTTTGCAATATTTTTGTCTTACTTTAAAACGCAATAAAACTTCAGCAAACAAAATTTAATATGAAAGTGACTAAAAGTAGGTCCAAAGCTTCAAAATGCTTTTTGAAAAAAATTCATACGATAATTTTTCGCAAAAATATTGTATTTTTTATTATATGTGAAATTTTATTGTATACAGGATACTTCCGTAATCTGCACATCAGTAAATCAGGTTGCCTATCTGCTTATCGGCACGGGCACGCTCTATTGCAGTGCTCGTAAAGATTCGATAAAGAGGGGTCACTCGCCGAAATTAGCCTGAAATATGCAAATCTTTGTGAGCACTGTTCTACTGGTAATGCAGAATAAGATTAAATCGCAAGCCTAGCGGGGAATGATACAAGAGAAATTGAATTTTATTCTGGTATAGTGTAAAATTCAATAATATTGTATAAAATATGTATTTAATAAGACAAATAATATCTGATTTAATCTAACATAAATGACATTAATACATATTTATAAAAAAATATATAATCATAAATATTTGTAATTATAAAATAAATATTTATTATATATTATAGATATTTTAATACAAAAATATTTGCTTTATAATTATATTTTTAAATATTTATGCCCATGGGCAGACAGATAACTCGACTTTACTGATGTTAAGTTACGGAAGCATCCTGTACAAACGTTTTTAAAACTAATCAAATAAAATTTAAAAAAAATTTGAAATAATTTGTCGCGATCACATTATAACAAACTTTTTTTTCTTTTGTCTTTTTTCCGTATTTAATTTCAAAATTAAAAAAAATCTTTAGAAAAAAATGAATTTTTACACAGTAAAATTTCACATAATAAAAAATACGATATCTTTACTAAAAAATAATTGTACAAATTTTTTTTAAAAGGCATTTTAAAGCTAGGAAGCCTACTTTTATATTAAATTTTGTTTGCTAATGTTTTATTCAACTGTAGCGCTTTAAAGTAAAATAAAATATTGCAACAATTATTTTTAAAGTTTATATAACTTAGGAACAAAAAATATATAATATATCATAGATAAAAGATTCAAACGCAGATTTAAAGCCCTATCTTTACACTTTAAAATGCGTGGTCAAAAACCTCTTTTTTTTCTTCTAAAAGACATTTAACTTTTCATAAAATATGAGGAAATTGTTAGTGCCTAATACTTTTGCACATGCTCTATATCTCTAAAATTGAAATCAATTCTACGCAATAAGTTAATTTTAAAAATATCATTTAATTTATTAAATTTATGCTTATTTTAAATCTTGTTCCTTCTATATAGTTTATGCAAATTGTACTTAGTTTATTCTTTAGTTCTATTGGAGTCGAATATGATTTCACACAAATGTATAGAGGGACAATGTCTAAAATTCAATTTTGTTTTATTGAATTTTACTTACAATTATTACAATATTACAGTATTTTTATCGCAATCATGTATGCGAAATTATAATCTTATTTCTTTTTCTGTTGAGATTGGCTGAACATTTGCATTAATAGGATATACGGTGACTCTGCCATTAAATACAATGCATATGCACAGAAATAATTAATCACCAAGTATCCTATGACTGTAGCGGCCTAAAAATTGTGACAATAAATATATTTAATTAATAATTGTCAAGATTGGAGTTTTGATTGTTAATGTACTTACTACGGACAGAAATTCGAAATGAACAGATATTTCACTATGCAGACTAATCGAACGTATGATAAAAGGATTTAAAAGATAAGCGCAGTATGTAAGTCTGCTAAGAGGAATCCAGATTTTGCATGATAAGAGCTTCTTAACAATGTCTGTAATCAAGCGTTTGATAAGAATACATTTTTTTTCTAAATTAAACATTGCTCTATTATGATTTATTATTGTCTATTACAAAAATGATTACTAAGACTTGTATCTATCGACGCTAAAAATCACTCCGAAATCTCGGAATTTAAATTGTCGTCTGTTTCGATAAATTGTTTTGCACTACTGTTTGAGATATCTAATTTATCAGACGATAATTTAAAAAGAATGTACCACTAAGGAAAATTGAGAACCTATTGCAATTATGTGGACAGAGAAACTTCTAGATTGTACATAAAGATTAATGCAAAAATCGGCATCGATTTACTGAGGCAAGTTTATATCACAATGGATTTTTGTTAGATGTTATTCCAAATATGATTGCAATGAAAAATAAATTCTATTATCATTTATAATTTATGCTACATATGTAACGTCAATTTTTAATTTTGATGCAATTTTGTTCAATATTTTCTTAATTCTTCCATTGAAAGAGAACACAAATTTACAAAATTTATGTTTAATATTAATCATCATAAACATTTTATATTTAAATTATTTAATATATGTAATCAATTTATATTGCGATCGAGGCACTGAGCAGGTGTACTACGCTCCAGTGTAGGGTGCAAAATTTTAATAGCCAGGCCTACTATAAATATAAAGTTCTACCTTATTTGATATTTTAAATAAATTAGCTAAAAATGATTTTCTCTCTGGAAATCTTTTTAAATTTAGCAATAGTGTTACAGATCTTATTAATTGCGTTAATATCTGTAGCAACAGCAGAGACATTTTTTTCAAAATTAAAAATAATAAAGTATTTCTGAGAAATACAATGATGCAGACGTGGTCATGCGATTTAGCTATGACATCAATTGAAAAAGAATTGGTGAACAATTTTGATTACTTAATCAATCTTTATTACTTTGAAGTTACGAAAACGTACTTGATGACATTATCAGAATATGTTGAAAAACCAAGCCAGAAAATATAATAATATAATAGTATAATATAGTATGTTGCATTAAGTGTCAAAATATTATTACAAAAGAAAACATGAAATCTATTGTATTTGTATCCCTGTGTTATGCAAATTGGTAGAAATTCTTTTTTTTTAGTTGTTAGTTAATTGTCATTGGCAGTGGATTGGTGCTTCAGAACTTAGAAATCCTTGTGATGGAAAGTTAAAGCAAATTTCAGTGTAGAACGCCAAAAGCGATTGTAACGCCTCTAATTGCAACTCTTATTTATTTTTATTGTTTTTGTACTTTCAATTAGTTTAATTATTATGTTTTACACCAAGGATCTGATGAAGAGGTTGACACGTTTGTATGATTTAATGAACTGATAAATGTTAAATATAGGTTAATCATTAGCACTTGACAACGAGTTTTGCCTCGTAACCTTTCCCTTCTGGCAATCTTTATTTTTAAAAAGTTCTTGAGTCAGAATATTTTGATTATTTTGTATCTATTTAATACTATTATTAAATCAACTAACCTCCATGCTCAGTACAACACATTATTACAATCGATGCTATGCCTATGGCCCAAACTGTTCTACTTAATGCAACATAGATAGCAGTAGACAGAACGGATATTTGTCGTTTGTAAAGGCCAAATAACACCAAAATGTTGCAAGCAGCACCAAGAGTCCAACATAAAATTACAATAATCTGAAATTTATTCATTTTCTTTAAAATATAATATATTAAAACAAGTCAACTAATATAGATCTCAACAATTTTCAGCAATTTTAGCGAATTATTTCCAAGATATTAAAAATAATTTAGATGTGGGTTAAATAATTCTTTTTATAATATTTTATACATTATATACTTCCTGTTTTCAGCTATTTATTAAATTGTGAGAAAAGTCAATGTCTTAACTTATAAATGATTATTCAGTATACATATACAGGGTGGGGAAGAAATATGGAAACCCTAAAAAACCTTGAGAGATGTCAATTGTACAGAAAAGTAGTTCGGGTAAAAACTGTAAGCCTTAGAAGGATCTATTTATTAGTCTTATTAGTTTGTCCTTTGAAGATTGCTCCTTCTATTTATATATATATATATATATATACATTTTTAGTGTAAACATTTATATAACAGGAACAATTTTAAAAAGACCTAATTTTGACAATTGTTACTATGCTGAACAACATTTAGAAGGTTTTAACCATCAATTAGTTACCTTTAATAATATTAATGATGGCGATATTGTAACTTTCAAGCTTTATGATTCAAAAAGTATTTAATAAAAAACATTTTGGGACACTCTGTATATACATATATGTATGTATAACCGCAGATATAATTTAAAAACTAGCTACTTTTAAAATTTTTGTAAAAATTAATCTAATATTAATCCATTTATAATTATGGATACTCCAAATTCGCGTTCTACATAATTAGAAATAACAATTACTAATTATTATCTGAATTTTATTAATCGTTAGCTTATATACTTCGTAGCTCTAACAATTGGTTACATTAAATTCTCTTATGTAAAGATAAATATTATATACTTTACCTTTTTCAAGACTATTTGTTTGTTAAATCTTCTTATAATGTAACCTGTAACCATTCCAATAATGTATGGACCAATTCGAATCCATGGTGGGAAATATAAGACATCTATAAAATGTCTACTGTACTGTTCGTCTATACTGTAATAATATAAAAGTGTTTATTTACTTAACTAGTTTCATAATTAATAAGATGCTTTATAACTTACGTCGGAACATATTCATAAATGTATGAGATATAACCGCTTGATATAACCGAGACTATCAAAAGTGTACCTAGTATGACAACAGCCACGTAAAAATATCTGAAATTTGTAGCTTTTATTTATTTAGATACATGCGTTGAAAATATGTAACATTCTACAGTCAACGATCGTTTAACTTACACAGTTGACAGAATTAAAAGCGCCAGACCGATTATATAGAATTGCATATCGTTGGATAGATACCAACTCCAGGTCAAGCACTACAAGAAAATTTCTCTTTTGAATATAACTCAGAATAAGAATATTCTCATATACTTCTGAGTGTGATGCCAAAATTATATTATAACTAAAGCTGTATTCCAAAATTTTCTGGCAGTACTGAAAATCGATAGTTTACATTACGTGCACTATAAATTTTCAGTACTGGCAGAAAATTTTGGAACATAGTCTAAATTGGCGTTTGTACCATCGTATTAACACCAAACAGATTATGTATGTACAAGACATTTCTCCACCAGTATTTTGCGCAAATTTCGTGCTGTCTCTCCTCAATGTAAAATTGCGAAGTCTTATCGTACCAAGATGAGATCAATTGCGCTATTCCTATCATCATTACATAAGCCGGTGTCAACCTTAAAAGAAATATCTAGATTTAATTTTAAAAACTATAAAGGAAGCAATTATTATTATCTGGCTATATTGTTAAATTGAATTTTTAATCGCATTCTGTATTATTTTGCTTATTACTGTATCATTGATGCTGTCATGCTTACAGCGTCGTCTTTGTTTATTGTTCACTTGAATCAAGATAACGTTAGAAACGTACCGAATATATCTCTTTATTATGCTGACAAAGAACTCATTTAGCTTCTCTCTGTAATGAATCGGCTTAATTCTTTCCTTGTCTGTTTTATGCTTTAAATACGTGTAAGCCAATAAAAATCCGCTCAAAAAGAAATAAGTGTCAACCGCTAGACTTGCGTTGCTTATTACTTGAATAGGGATACCTTCGGCG